ACCAAGNGAAGATTTTTGATAACCAAGTTGCCCAGATTAAGTAGATGATAGATTGGATGATTGAAATATCAACGAAGTTGGAGAAGAACAAGGTTGCCAAGGCTGAGGCGGAGCTTCAAATGAATGAGGCTGAGCTAAAGGTGTCCATCGCTGAGAGTAAGTATGCATCATTGAGTGAGAAAATTGGGAAGTTTAGGGGTTCCTTGGAGGAGGTCTCCAAATGGGAGGAGACCATTCAGGAAATGGTCGCCCAATATGAAAACGAGATTTTCTTGATCTTTAGGGAGCTAAAGAATAAATCCTTCAAGGAGGGTTGTGATGTTGTCCATTGTGCTACTGGTGTGCCCTCAAATTCGACGCTCTTTCAAAAGCATACAGTTGGGCCCACACCTTTGGTGGCCAAGGGATCTAACACAGTGCAACTTNAACCAGTTTATGAAAATTCTTGAAACAAGTAAACACTTCATATTTGCTATGCAACAGATAAACCCAAGCAACTCGATTGTAGCAATTAATGAAAGAAACAAATCATTGATATCCAACAAGATAAACAACACGAGATGGCCTCCACATATCATAATGAACAATCATAAATGGAACAACGCTTCTATTATTATCACTAGGATAAAGAGATTCTTGTATNCGGATGGAAATGCCTTCTTGCATTTTATTGCCTTGTGTTTTACTTGGGTGTCATCCTTTTTGATCAACTCTAATGCTCGGGCTTTGGTAAGGTTCACCTGAGGAAGGCATCTTTACCTTGGTACCTCTGGGCGCAGTGAATCATTGATGAAATCTTATCCCGCTTAGGGTTGTACTTCTCGTTCGGGTGCAAGCCACACTCACCTAAGGAAGGTGTCTTTGCCTTGGTACATTTGGGTACATTACTTTGCTACCAAATTCTTATCCCGTCTGTGGTTGTGCCTTTCATTAAGGACCGTCTTGTTTAAGGCTTTGGCTTTTCTATTGCACCAGGGATAGGCCAAGGTGGAATAATAGTTCTAGATGCCAAGTCATTCTCAAAATTCCTTAAAGGGTGCACTATAAATCGAGTGTCATTGTTTGATACAATGTCTCGAGGGATGCCAAAGTGAGTGACGATATATCTCTAAATGAATCTCTTTGTGTCTATATCTCGGATGTGGGTTAGATGTTTGGCTTCTACCCACCTGGTGAAGTAGTTAGTCCTCACTAGCATGAATCTTTTGTTAGTCAGCGCCATGGGCAGAGGACCGACTATGTCTAATCCCCATTGCGAGAAGGGCTAGGCACTGGTAGGGAGCTAAGCTCCTTGGTCGGCTGTCGAATNTCTTAAAAGGTGCACTATAAATCGAGTGTCATTGTTTGATACAATGTCTCGAGGGATGCCAAAGTGAGTGACAATATATCTCTAAATGAATCTCTTTGTGTCTATATCTCGGATGTGGGTTAGATGTTTGGCTTCTACCCACTTGGTGAAGTAGTTAGTCCCCACTAGCATGAATCTTTTGTTAGTCAGCGCCATGGGTAGAGGACCGACTATGTCTAATCCCCATTGCGAGAAGGGCTAGGCACTGGTAGGGAGCTAAGCTCCTTGGTCGGCTGTCGAATATAGTGTTGGGCATCTATCTTCATGAAGGGCCACCAATCCACCTAGGATATGGCCCAATGTGCTAAGGATTGACTGCCGATGTGGNTATATTGTACCCCTAGTTGGGGATTTACACTGATCACATCCCGTCAACCACCAGGGTTCTATTTTCATACGACGTGAGCCATCTGTCATGCGAAAACTGAAGGCTTCCTCCACACATCAATTTCTTGGGAATCATTATGACATTTTTGCCGCCTAGAATTTGAATGTCGCATTAATGTACGTTTCTTTGATAACCACAGTTGGGATCACCATTGTATAAATAGGAGGAGGCTCCCATTTGAAGGGACTTTGAATCTTCAAACCCAGTATTCATAGTTCCACTAGTGGGTCTCCCGAGCTAATGCCCCTCTATAACAAGGCCATAATGAAGGGTGGGACCAGATTTTGCTTCCATCCTATGCTTCTCCAATTCCTTATACATTTGCCTCTTCCCCAGGCAACGTTGCCTGAACACCTTCAAATCATCATGTGGGTGGTGGCCCTAAACTCCCTAGTTTGAGTGAACCTCGGGTTGGAAGAGATCATTTTTTCATTACAAGTTGGTGTGGATGATGTCTAAAACATGCTATCTTTAGGTCTGAGACCCCTCAATGTAAATAGTTGTCCATTTTCCTGACTCTGACAAAGGATATACTCAAGACATCCTAATGATGAGTAGCTGATGGGAGAGAGGAGTGGGACTTGAGTACCTTAACTTATTTTGTCCTAAAGTTTGGAGGGACATAGGTAATTTGACCTCCCTTTCCCCTCAGTTGTCCTTCGGGTGCACCCTTTTGTTTCTCTTTTATTAATCGATTTGTGTTCTTCTTATTGCAGAGGTGCCTAAGAAAGAGACCGTGCAACCTTTCCGTAGTGTATTCATCTTTGACGACATACTAAAAGTATGGGGTTACCTTGGCCTTGAAGGTTTAGGGCCAAGCAGCCCATGTCCTATTCAGATACACACCTAGGTATAAGAAATTCCCCCACGTCCCTTTGGGCTATGATCCTCTAGACTAATGGTCTAAATGAGATAAGGACCTTGAGCCAAATTTAGANGATATTGTACCCCTAGTTGGGGATTTACACTAATCACATCCTGTCAACCACCAGGGTTCTATTTTCATACGACGTGAGCCACCTGTCATGCGAAAACTGAAGGCTTCCTCCACACATCAATTTCTTGGGAATCATTATGACATTTTTGCCGCCTAGAATTTGAATGTCGCATTAATGTACGTTTCTTTGATAACCACAGTTGGGATCACCATTGTATAAATAGGAGGAGGCTCCCATTTGAAGGGACTTTGAATCTTCAAACCCAGTATTCATAGTTCCACTAGTGGGTCTCCCGAGCTAATGCCCCTCTATAACAAGGCCATAATGAAGGGTGGGACCAGATTTTGCTTCCATCCTATGCTTCTCCAATTCCTTATACATTTGCCTCTTCCCCAGGCAACGTTGCCTGAACACCTTCAAATCATCATGTGGGTGGTGGCCCTAAACTCCCTAGTTTGAGTGAACCTCGGGTTGGAAGAGATCATTTTTTCATTACAAGTTGGTGTGGATGATGTCTAAAACATGCTATCTTTAGGTCTGAGACCCCTCAATGTAAATAGTTGTCCATTTTCCTGACTCTGACAAAGGATATACTCAAGACATCCTAATGATGAGTAGCTGATGGGAGAGAGGAGTGGGACTTGAGTACCTTAACTTATTTTGTCCTAAAGTTTGGAGGGACATAGGTAATTTGACCTCCCTTTCCCCTCAGTTGTCCTTCGGGTGCACCCTTTTGTTTCTCTTTTATTAATCGATTTGTGTTCTTCTTATAGCAGAGGTGCCTAAGAAAGAGACCGTGCAACCTTTCCGTAGTGTATTCATCTTTGACGACATACTAAAAGTATGGGGTTACCTTGGCTTTGAAGGTTTAGGGTCAAGCAGCCCATGTCCTATTCAGATACACACCTAGGTATAAGAAATTCCCCCACATCCCTTTGGGCTATGATCCTCTAGACTAATGGTCTAAATGAGATAAGGACCTTGAGCCAAATTTAGAATTAGATCCTGATTGAACCACCAAATGCTCTGAGAGTTCTATCGAGTTTGTTGACCTTGAACCCAAACTCGAGGTCTCAAACCTCGAAAACACCTCAACCTGACTTCAACATTCCACTCAATGTAAAAAATCCCGATGCCCTCGTCCACTCCATGTCCAAGCTCCCAAGAATCATACTCAATATCATGGAGGCGATGATAGCCTCTAAACACTCAAGATAGGGAGGGACGTCTAGGCTTGTACCAGCTATTGTTCGCCAATAGGATATGCATCCCCCTATTCCCCTGCTGCCTCTACAAACTAAACAAAGTGCTCCTTGGAGCACAACACTAGACCGCGAGGATGCGTCCAAAAATGAATGAAGGGTTAAAATGTGCCATAACTTAGGGTATATGTAACAACCCTAGGCCCTAATCGTCGTGCCTTCTTAGAAAGGCCCCCAACCAACATTAACCTTGGGAGAACATTGGACTGGCACCTATGAGCCACTATTAGAAAGAATAAATTCGTGTTGAGCTCTGACTCCATCACTTAGTCCCTTGATGTGGCTTATGTTGTAAGTAGCGCCCTTCACTTCGAAGTAGACATGTCGCAACATTGGGACCACTCTGACAACAGACTTCTATATTTTAGGGGTAATTTAGAATGCCTTGATGATGAGTATCCAAGCTTACGCCCTTCCCTTTTCCATGTACCTGCCTTGATTCTAACCTTTTCCCTTTTGGCACAAAACTACTAATAGATGTCATTCGTTACCAAATGGTTTTGGGTATACTGAATCTTGAGCAAGAAGGCTCCAACTGAGATCGATGATCTCAAGAAGGACGTCCTATCAAAAGAGAAGATTTTTGATAACCAAGTTGCCCAGATTAAG